AGGATATATCTGCGGAAACCGTCGCACGCGTCTTTGTAGACAGATGGATCGCAAACTTTGGATGCCCATCTTCCATAACAACTGATCGTGGGCGACAATTCGAAAGCGGTTTATTCTTCGCTCTAACTAAAATCCTTGGTCGCATGCGTTTTCGAACAACAGCCTACCATCCTCAAGCGAATGGTATGGTAGAACGTCTACACAGACAGTAGAAAGCTGGTTTATCAACTGCAAATAACACCCATTGGACTGAATCCCTGCCGTTAGTTCTCCTAGGGATACGAAACTCCTTAAAAACCGATGCTGGTTGTACTACCGCTGAGCTAGTATTTGGCACGACACTACGACTGCCAGGTGAGTCTGTTTCTCCCTTGAGCTTCCCACTAGCGGTAGATCACTCCTCATACGTCAGCAGGCTTACAAACGCAATGCGTTCAGTTAAACCTGCTCCCCTTCGACCACAGTCCATTGATGTTTTCGTTCATCCCTGTTTAAAAACGTCACCACACGTATTTGTTCGTCGCGACTCTGTGCGTCGCCCTCTAGAACCCCCGTATGACGGACCATATAAAGTAATTAAGCGTACGGATAAATTATTCGTCTTAGACAAGAAAGGCCGCGAAGACACCGTCAATATCGACCGTCTGAAACCGGCTTACTTGGAAGGTAATCCTACTAGCCTAGAGCTAAACGTACCCGATAATCCACAAGTAATTGAATCTCCTTTAGTCTTCGAAGAAATCACTAGCACGGCAAAAGCCACCAAACCTTCTGTCAAGCCTTCAAAGAAAACGGGTTCTGGAGGAAACGTGAGATTCCCAGAACATCTCATTTATAACACATAACTAAGTGGTGCAATTCACCCAACTCTAATTCGTTTGTGGTTTTTATTTATTGCTTCTTTCAGACACATCAGTGTGTATTCATTTTGCACCCCGCAAAGCAAGTAAAGACTTTTCTATAACCGTGCATGTTACATCCACTAGAAAATTATATATTTTTTTCGACGTTCTATTTTCGCATTATTTTACTGTATGGTAGATGCATATCATTTTTGAAACGTTACTTTTGATACATCTTCCTCAACAAGGTTCTTAGCATTCTTGTTTTCTTTACCAGGTTTTAGGGGTACTGGACAACGAAGCACGAGGTCCAACGGACAAACATCAATGAAGCGATGTACAGACACCCTATTAGCATAGGTAGACGACCAGTAGACACTATATCAAGCCTCTCGGAAGAGTACAAGGATTATGTGATAATGTGAATAGTTTGATGAAAGAGTTGTGCTCAGGGTGTACATGGAAACAAAATTTTTTTCCTATTCCTTCACGTTTGCAGTGGAACATGGGGCTTCAAGCTAGAGGCTTGAAGTTTCGGTAGCAGTGTATATTTTTACAGAATGGGGTTGCTAGCCTCATGCCCAACCTTTTCTCTTTATCAGCATTATTTCTGGCTTAGCGAGGTAAAGGAGTGCGCCGGCCGGGGCTAGAACCCCGGACCATGTGCATGGTCGGCGAGCTTCCTAACCGCTATACCACCGACGCGGACACAAAATAATATACGAAATTATGCAAGGGTTCTAAGTAGTTAGAAAAATAAGCATATTTTCGTTTGAAAAATTTGATAAACACGCACATAAAAAACAACCATATATATTTGCCATTATACATCCATGAAAATGAATTCGCCGAATAGAGACTCTTCGCTGAAATACTGGTCTTCTGTCTACTAATGTTCGACTGGGAATTTTTCATGAAAATAGAATAGTATCTCTTCCCATACCTAAAGGTTTCTTGGCTAATTGCAGTGTCGAAAATTCATGTTGAAGCTCAGTATCTCCTTTTTGAAGACGAACCAGTTTCGCAAGGCCTATGCCATCTATTTGGGTGAGGGAACAAACGCGCAACAAGGCATCTGCCACAGTGTTGTTCGCTCCTGATATATGGTGGATATCCGATGTAAACTGTGAAACGTAGTCCAGTTGTGATTCCCTAGGTTGAGTTCAGAGAGTAAGTCAAAGGTTTGTGGTCAGTGAACATTATGAATTCACGACCCTCAACTGAATGTCGAAAATGGCGTATAGCACAGTACATAGCTAGAAGCTCTCTTCCAAATGTGCTGTACTTCGTTTAAGCTAATTGAAGACGCTTCGAGAAAAAGGCGAGTGGTTGCCAATCTTTGTTAAGTAGTTGTTGCAGAACTGCGCCGATTACAGTGTCTGATGCATCAACCGAGACACTTAATGGTGCTGTTGGATCCTGACATATAAAAGGTGTAGCTATAGCTTTTTTGACCTGAGTGAAAGCATTTTCAACAGACGGGTCGTGTTCGATAGACTTGTTATTGCCTCAAATGAGATCTGTTAATGGCTAAATCAAAGAAGCACAGCTAAGAATGAACCTTCGGTAATAACTTACCAAGCCGTTGAAAATGCACAGACATTTCAATGTCTGTGGCTCTAAAAATTCAGTATTGCCCCAACATTACTGGCCAGTAAGCGAATGGTGACATCGAATAGGTATAGACTTCCTCGTGGAAACTCCAGAAGAATAGCTCATCAGAGGGCAAGGACTCGGGTGTGCTCCCACTTCTTTTCACTGCTGGTTTGTCGTCCCTGGAACTCCTTACCGGCAGATGTAGCCCGTGACCACCTTTAAGCGAAGGCTGGACAATCGTGCAGTGGCACAAGGACTGAGTCCAAATGACCTACTCCCTTAAAATCTCATGCACCATTCATCGGTGCACAACTAAATTCGTCGTTTTACTTCTTTAAATTCTCTCCCGTCTTGCCCTCCCGGCTACTCTAACTACTACACTTACACTTATTATTATTGTAGCGGTAAATAATTCCCCAAAATTATTAATCACAGCAATCATCACTCAACATTGGATGCTGACCACCACTGTTTAAGTCGACTTGTTTAGCTGAAGGCTTACGGTCAAGCATCCCCGCCATTTGGTGCTTCGTCGTGTCACGTGCGTGCACGATTACTAGCTAGCTAAGCATTCACCTCTACCCGCGATTTTGTCCCGAAATATAATACGTACTTTGGACGACAAAATCTGGTCTTTTGCTTTACCATTTGGTACTCGAAGAACGAACACTATAGTGGTTGTTGGTATAAGATCTTGCGTTAGTATAATCCATACAACTCGCGAACGTCGATACCCGCAGTCTCTAAACTATCAATCACGTCGGGCTCACCAGTTTGATATAACATACATACACATATTTACATATATATTTCAACTTCAAATTCAATTGACTGTCTGTTTTCACGTTTTCTTTATTTCTTTTTCTGCCTTTTAGTCTGAATAAGCTACACTAATTATATCTGTTATCATTATTATTATCATCTCTTTTCTTCTGACGACGGTACCGGAGGACTAACTGGTGAAAGAACCAACTGCATTCACAGTATTCTTAGCACACCGCACAATACAAACAACATATAATTAATCCCAGCACTACTCCTTTTGGTGTCATCCAAAGCTACGACAGTCGAGTGGCGGGACGAACTACGCAGAAGTTTACCGAATACCAGGGACGTTTACCTCACAATCAGGAGGCGAGCACAAAGCAATAAAATTGGTTTATACTAGCTCGTAAAAGCGATATTGGATATTGGATTGTTATACAATTATTATCATCAGTAATAGTAACTAGCTTCATTTAATTCTCTCAGGAGTTCTGGGAGAGGAAGCCGTGTAGGAGATAAAAGGATGACTTTGTGCAGCTTTTGCTTAAAGTTAAAAAACGATACTCCTTCCTATCGGAACATTGTGTACATCCCTTGTTTGAAACAAGTCTTTGTTTAGCTAGTCTGTTCAAGTTTTTGAAAGTACGCTTCGTATCGCGGTAAGTAGAGTGTGCGCGTTTTAGGTCGCATATTGAATTCTCATTCTCTGTGGTTTCTCGGCTGCTATCATCATAGTTATTCGTCACATCTTTTGAAGCCTGCACAAGGTCCACATCGCCTTTCAAAACAGCCCTAACAATAAGTGTGACAAACCTACAGCTAAGGATCATTGAAGTATGCTTTATACCCTAATACTCATTACGATAACATATATTTGTGGTCAGTGGGCTGTAAATTCTCCACAGTTATCCCAATACTCGAACAATTAATTATTTTTAATAACTGCGGTGCATTGTTTGAGTTGTGAATCGGTGGTTCAGCGGTAGAGCGCTGGCCGACCGTGAAAGTGGTCCGGGTTTCGAGTCCCGACCGAAGCACACCTTTACCTCCCTTAGCCGGTTACAATCCCGACAAAGAGGAAAGCTTGTGAGTGAGGCTAGCAACCCCACCTCGTGAAGAGAAAACCACTGCTACTGTTACTTCAAAGCACTAGCTTGAAGCCCTATGTTCCACTGGGAATGCAATGGAACAGAACAAGTTGTTTGAGTAACTGTTATTGCTTCAGTTTCCTCTGTGATAGTTTGTGAATTTACTGGATCTAGAACTGCGTCCGCCACAAACCATCGTGCTGTAAAGACGATGCTGTTTACCGTTCCAGCAGCTGTCAGCCTGACAACTCTGCACCAGCTAGTTATACCTAATAGGTTTGATATTCGCTAGGTGCAGTGTTGTGTAGTTAAATCTTTACCTACAGCACGTGAACGTAATATCATTTGGGGTCGCTGATAGATTACGTCCACGTGTATATGCGTGTCGACCAACTACGCCCAAGAATTGCTTGGTAGGCATGATTTTGACATATACGTGCAACTATCGCTACACCCATATTAGCTGATATATTTAGCCTGGAAAATGTTGTAGACTGTTGATTGTACAGTCCTTGGAGGTGGTCTGCCTAGCACCGCGTTTGTTCCTCATGTTTGGCAGTAAGGTCTCGTTTACCACTAATCACTAGCTTACTTTTTATTGGACTCTGTGTGTGTGATTATGAGTTTGTGTGGTCACTTGTTTTTCCTCTGTCGCTCAGCTTTTACTTACATGAATTTGTTCTTTAACTTTTTTCGTTCTTTTCGAAAGATGAGACGTCGATCATCTTGTGGTTCATCAACTCGAAATGCTGTTCAAGTTAGAAGAAGCAGAAGATCTAATTTGGCTAGGGTGGAGTATTTTCCTCGTTCATTGAGGCTACGACGACAAACTAGTACGGCGACTACTACTACCGCTACTGGTACCACCAGAAATTCCACGACGCCGAATAACACTATTTTGAATGAATGTCGTGACCGCCTGCGTAAAGTGATTCGACAGGTGTACACTTATGTATGTTTTAGTAATCGAGTAGACAAATGGAAACATGTACATTATTGTTTAACAAATAATGCCCGCCTGTTATCCAGACAGTTGTCTACGCCTACTGTGCGCTCGATGCCTGCCACCGATGATGGTCATAACGATATATCCTGTGGGTTAGAATCTTCTCCGATGGTTGCTAACAATATTGGTAATCCAGTCTCTCTGGCCGATCCGATCCAAATTCCATACGTCTTTGATCATCGTAGTTCATATGGTATAGAAATCAACGGTGAAATTCATCATACGAGTGTTGTAATGATCCCTCATGTAGATCCACTACCGAGCTTTACTATGTGGTCAAAAGTACAGCAAAATTTCTCTGTAGAAGATGAAACAGAGTTGACTAACTTGCCGTATATTGGAGAGGTGCAGGCTCGAGAGGATATGGATTTTTTTGAAGAGCTGTTGACCAATTATGGTGGTCGTTTGCATGGGAGCTTCCCATTTGAATTTGATGAGTCTCTGCTTGTGCAGCTGGTTGACTTAACTAATACCGTTTGGTCAGAAATTATTTCGTATTGTGGTTTATCCATCGATGGAGAATCACCTGTGTCGGCGAAAGCTATTGAACATGCAAATGATGGGGAAGGCGAAACACAAGAGAATAATGACAATAATGTTGTCTATGCTGGGTCAAGTCGGTCTCTGCGTGAATCTAATGATAAACGCCTAGTAATGAAGGGATTGAAACCAGATAAAAAGAAGGAAAGAGAATATGCAAAGCAAGAGGATGTATTGATTCCTAAAGGGGGTCGTTTAACTCGTCGATCTGCACAAATTGAAATTAAGGATAGTATTGTTGTTCATGCTAGTGATAGCGATAATGAGGTAAGCAGGATTGTTCTACAGTGTCAGTTATTGTGCACTTGACTGTTTATTCGTCTGAGTTGAGACAAACTGGCTACACAAATGCATTCCTACAGGAAGTTGTGCTGCTGAGTATGTCATTTTTAACTTTGCACATTTATGCATATATTTCACATTTCATTCGACTACACAGTTTTCAGGCTTTGTTGCAAGATGACAGGTGTTAATGTTTTACTGGTCAAGTTCAGGTAGATGAGGGTATAGTGTGGTTTAAATTACAATGGATTATGACTGAGTTGCATCGCTATGATAGATATTTAGTTGCCAGTCAATTGTCAGGAATCGCAAACAATAATAATAATAATGAAAATAATGATAATAGTGATGGGAACAGTTATGACAATGGCACTGACGAAAGATAGTTTAAGATGAGTCAAGAACAGTAATAAGAGATGGAATAAAATATTAATAATAGTGCCAGTTGTTGGGCAACAGGTATTGCCTGTGTAGGTTCAAATTGATCACTATTTCCTTCTGTAGACAAGGACCGGGTTTATACCCTCTAATTGTACAAGCCTCTGCAAGTGCAGGCATCCTTCCGTTTGTTCGCCTTCCGACGACAGTGAATGATTCGATAGAGTCAATACCGTGTCCATAGTTTGAGATGCATCCTTCCGTACAACCTAACCATTTGTTTCCATAAACACACTCCATTTGATATGTACAGTTGGAAGTGTTGAGGATTAGCAATCGGTCTTTCCCAGATTGTTGAAGCACTGGTTTGGCGGTGTTAAGGAATACAAGCTTTGTAGCATTATAAGTTGCTCCAGTACCCTCATCAAGTCTTCGCTCAACTGCTACTTGTATATCAGCTCCCCTAAATGTGAGACTGATACATATACAGCTGCATTTCGAACTGTGTGGGTTGTTTTACGGGCTGCTATTTCTTTATCTTTAGAATACTTATTGCTGAATCCCTCAAGATATCCATTCGCAGGTAAAATATCCTTTAGGGTTATTCTTTCATATTGGATTGTACTGTGAGAAGAGATATTGCTTGCTGCATTGGACGATGTTTTGACTAGGTTCTTTTGATGCTGTATGGGAAGAAGGCTCTTAACGTGTATATCGTGTCCCGTGCGTACAGACCTTCTGAATATGGGTCTTTCTATTGTGCTCTCAGTCGTTTTCACCAGAGAAACACCTAAGAATGTAATGGCATCATCTCCCTCATGTTCTATTACGGAGTTAAGATCAGGATGACATGAGTTGGATTTCATCAATAAATTTCTTTTCCACCTCTGATTTACCTTCACAGGCAACAAAAGTAATCTACATATGTTAGATATAATTGAGTCTGTTGTATGGTATGTGTATTCAGTGATCATTAATAGTACCATGTTCTGTAATTGCTTTATTCTAGGTGACTGTGAGTGGTGAAGAGGAGAATAAAAGTGAAGGGAATATGATAACAGTGAAAGAAGTGTTCCAAATTGGTGAATCGACTGCAGCAGACTTGAGTCTCAATCCACCCGAAGCGAAGCGTTTTAAAGATTGTGGAATCCCTTATGAAGTGTTTATTGTGAGTTGTCTGTTGATATCCTTTGCGATTGTCTTTAAAAGATTTTCCTAATAATTTTGATCCATTTGGTGTTAGGTGGTAGACCCGGACATCTAGGCTCCATGCTTGTTGGCACTCGTTGTCAACGCTGAAGAGACTACTGTCCGTTCGGACATTCAAACTTGTGTCAACAGGTGCTGGAGTGACGAACGTTACCACTGAGCCATTCACGACGATTGACGTGTAGATCTGCAATGGATACATTGTCATGCGTGTAGGAAGTTATTTTTGTTGCTGCTGACTGAATTCTGTCAGTCAAGTGATCATCAAATTTGGTGAGGTGACTTGCCATCACAGTGTACTTTGAATATTGGTGCTGGTTTGACCACGACTGCGGTTTGTTACCGAAAGCTATTGTTTCATCTTCCCTTTCTGAACGTTAGTTCTTTTCCATTGTAAACCGCTCAGTGTTTTTCACAAGCAATCGACATAATTGAGTCGAGTAGGGGCGCAATCGTGTCATTGAATCACCAACATTCTCTGTGATGAACTGGATGTGACCACTCGTAAGTTGGGAGGACACTCACGTTGTACATTTCATTACCAGTCGGCAACATCGAATAAATAGAAGCTGTGGATCATTGGTCTGGGCTCTTGACTACCAACCACTAGGTTACTGGTTCTAGTTCTGCCTATCTTCCCCTCGTGATTTGGACAGCTATGTAGTATATCACGACCCCACGCACGATAAGTTTAGCTCCATTGATAATTGCATGGGGTAAATACAAGTGGTTGTTGGGATCTGGTCTCTCTCCCACCCTCTATATATCTGTGTGTGTGTGTGTGTGGTTAAAATGACCGATTTCTTCAGGTTGTAATCAGAGCTACTCAGCCGTCTCGTAAAAGCCATATACTTATTGTTGTCGGTTTCAGTGACTTCCCGCCAACTTTCCTACATCACTCTGTTTATTCTGTTATGCCTGTGCGTGTCTATATGTGTGTATTTTAGAATATGCAGGGCTGTTCTCAGTATCCAATTACTCTGTCTATAGATTCCCACGTCTTTGCCTGGTTACTAATATTTCCTTGGGTTTCCGAGTAGAGCATTGGGCTTCACCCTGTTCTCTGACTTGACATTGTTGTTGAAAATTCGTTTGTTGTTCCTTGTAATGGGTGTTGTGGAGGTGCATATTGTTTTCTAAGTAATGAACACCCATCTTGCTTTTGCGATCCTGGCAGACTTAATCATCCTTATCGAGGGCAACTGTAGTTGGAACGATGCTGCACATATAAGTAAGTGAAGGAGACGACTTTCTCCATATTTCTGCTATCTGTAGTGAATGATGCTTGTTGTTGTTTGTTGTGTATCTTTATCACCTCTTTCCTCTCTATGTTCACCTGAAGTCATGTCTTTGCTACCTTTTTCTGCCAACTGGTTTTCAACTGGCTGGTTTTCACATGTAGATGTTTGAGTTTGTGTTTGACATTGAACATGAATCATGCTGAAAGTTCCAGTATTCCTTGCTTGATATGTCTGTTTTATTATTATCAGTATGGGATGACATATATGCATCCACTTCCGTCCATCGGATGAACACATCACTAATATTACAGTTGTTTTGAGTGCAGACAGTGTTTCATGGGTGGTTTTAAAAGTGTTTAACGGAGTTTTATACTACACAGCTGTGATATCTATTGTGATGCTTTGTTATACACACATACCCTAAGCTTAATCTGCTTCGATTACTTTTATCCTCACCAATTGTTTAACAAGACCTTAAGGTTAAAAGGTAGTACTACAGTCGTTGCAGTCTCAATGCTGTTGTATTTCTATAATGTTGAGTCACTTTTGTTTTTGTTTCTTCATAGGCGATAGCTGGAACATTCGGTTCTACAGATAATGCAAATAAACTTCAACAGAGGTATGTAGAAATGAAGGGACGTGCAAATAATTCTCAGGTATGTTTGATTAAACGACGGCCAATACCGCTTCGCACATGTTGATGTGTATGTGTGTGTGTGTATTTGTGAATACTTGTGAAAATAGCATGACTATATTTTTTGTGAGTAGAGATATTGAATGCAAAATCCTAGCCAGAGTTGGCGCTGAAAATGTCATCCAGTCTGATATTGGGGCGTCCACTGGGGATAGTGTCGAAGTTGTGTAACCGGAAAGCTGGAGGAGTGATATTTATATATTTTTTAAAATATTTTTGATTACAGCTTGATTCCACACCGTATTTTAGTACAAGTATGGAATTTTCAGCATGGATATCGGTAGCCCAAATTTACAGGCCGACCATAGATATCGGGTGTGCGTCGGCAGGGGATCGAACCCTGGACCATGTTCATTGTCGGCAAGAGTCCTAACCACTATGCCACCGATGCTGATTGGTGCAAGCACTGGACAGACTGTAAGTCAGTGGGTTTCTAGCTCAAGCTCCACCTTGTGTACATCAACCGGGTTAGCAGTACCGTTGACTTTCACGCAGACAATACTCGTGGTACATGGGAGAATTGTTATGGATAATCATTTCAAAGACTGTAGTTGAGGTGGATTATTCTTTTGTTTTGATTTGGTTGTGTTCTCGAAGCTGATTGGTTTTTGCTATTGCGGGGTTTTCGTTATCCTTCTAGACAAAATCTTCAGCACAAGATTTGATGTGGAGTGAATTTATATAAATTCTCCATGAAAAATTCCAATACGCCAGTAGTAAGCCCGGTGAAGAGGAAAGGTTAGGCGTGAGGCCAGCAACCTGACAGTGTTAATCAGGAGTAGTGCTACTGCTACTGAAACTCCTAAGCTCAAAGCTCAAAGCCCTATGGTCGACTCGGAATGCAGGGGAATAAAATAATTTAGAAAAATGGAGATCGGAAGTTTCGCAAATAAATCAACCAGTCCAGAGAAGACAGTGAGATCGAAATGAACATTGGGGACGCGTTGTGATGGAACATGCTACTGATTAATTGATATGAGTAACTGGAAAACAATTCATACAATCCAGTAGTAGTGTGTGTTACCTAGCCAGATCCAAGTTATCACACCTGAGGTTCTCAGTGGTAACACGTCATTGAAGGCGACTGCTGGTAGGTACATCCGGCCGACGAGTCCCAAACAGGGCAAGACACGCCTCCCGGATTCCACTGGTAGTTACGATGCACTAAATAACTTTATTCAGTAGTAATGACAAGACCCCGAGTGGCGACATCAAAATCGTAATGGGTGATATAATATATATATGCGTGTATCCATGCAAGCCAAACTAGGAGAAGACAACACAGCAAGGGAACTCAGGATCTAGACGAAGTGAATGAGAACGGAGGACTGTCTGGTGACCTTGGAGCACACAATGACTCGTTGATTGGAGGCAGCGTGTACACGAACAAGCCCTCGGTGTTCACTGAAGGTCAGATGGCCAGCCGGGAGGAACACGCAACGAGGACCTTTAGCGGCACACCAACCGAAAGCAAAACATATGTAGAAGGAAGTGGAGATGGGTTGGATACACACTGAGGAGACCGTTGAGGGATATCACGTGCCAGACAAACCCTCGAGGAGAAGCCAAATGAGGAGGCGACGAGTTGGTTGTGGGTGCGAGAGTGACATGGAGAAGATCATGTGAAGCGGAGGAAATGAAAGCATATGGGCGATTGTGGAACCAGTTAAATAGAGACTGCAGAGAACAGAATGAAATATAGTTGTGCTCCTGCTGAAGCCTTCCGGTAGAGTAACCAGTCCCGTTACTCAGAACAAAGCCGTCGTGAGAATAGTCGGAAGTCAACAGGCACAAAATAAAGTGGAAACCTATTTTTCCGCATCATTGTTTGATTTATCTCTGTTCGAATATTCTGTATTTCCTTGAGCGGTGTTGGAGTACAGGGAGTGACAGGATTTCAGTGCTTTTTAATATTATTAGTGATATCAGTTGTCCATAAATTTTGCTAATAATTTGTGTACGTGTGGGCTTTTGTTCTTTCTCCTGTTGTAGTTAAATGAAGAAACATCAACATTATTTCCAAATTTAGATAACCCCTTTGAGGTGCACAGGGCTGTCACCAGTGGTCGACGCAAAGTCCTATCACGAGCTGATGCTTTACATTCATATAGGACATTATTTTGTCGTCGGTGTTTTAAGTACGACTGTTCTTTGCATCCGTATAAGTCCACTCCGTCGATGTGGAGTCATCGTTGGCCAATCGATACCACGAAAGATGCCGGTTAGTTAATTCAATTTTAAAAGTGTCACTTGAATTGCTGCTCTGCTTCTGCCTAGCCGAGCTGTATATGCATATTACCATTGACAATTTAAACAAATACGTATTTTCGGTAGTTTTTCATCAGGCTTTACAATAAGATAATAAAGTGTTCATCATAGATAGACATCTGAAGCCGATGTGATTAATAGAATAAAAGTATCGATGATGATTGACAAACAGAGAGAAATATCTGCAATCTGTGCAGAAGGAATGTTTATATTTGACTTTACTGTTCAAAGGAGATGTAGCTACTGAATTGTTGGCATTGACCGATTGTTTATCGCGACACTGTTTGAAGTTCACTACTCGCTGTATAACTCGACTGCAGGTGAAGGATAAGCTACCGAGTGTGACCGCTTCAATGTGCATTTCTAGGTGTAACTGTCCTTGTGGAGACAGATACATAGGTAGAACGACTCGGAGAGCCCACCGTCGCCACCTTGAGTATTGTCAGACGTGGTTAGGAAAAGGAGTTGTTAAGTTAGTCAGGAGTTCCATATTGACACATCTAGACCATACGGAGAATAAGATTGATAAAAAGCATTCAGCCTTTAGAATTCTTTACAAGGTGTCACCTGAATTCCATAGGTTCGTACGCCTTCGATTGCTAAGCATAGCTGAGTCAGTCTCCATGATGAGTTTTCATCCTAATCTTTGTGTTCAGAATAAGTATGTTCAATCTCTCTCCTTCCTGTGGTTTTCACCCCCAACCTAGAATAGTTGCGGGATATCTGTAAATATAATTTTAATTTGTACTGCTAACTAACTTTGTTATTTAATTATGTTGTGCTATTGTTGCATATCTTAGTCTTAGTTTTCCGATCTATCATTACTATTATTATTGATATGTTGTCTAATCGCTATGAGACAACTGTTATTTCCCCCTGTACCCCTACAAGTACGCACATTAACGACAATTGACTGCCCAGATTATATAAGCACTTGAATCAATTTATCCTTGTTTATATTATTATTTTTATTGTTGTGATCACCTCGATTGTTAACCCCCAATTCACATGCCTAAGTTTCAATTCTATTAACCTGATTATGTTCAAATGTGTATGATTGATGTTTTATTATGTAATTGTAAAGCCTGATGAGAAATTGCTGAGAATACATATTTACTCAAATTGCGTCCTACAATTGTCATCCTTGGGCTATTTAGGTTATTTACTGTTCAGTAGATTTACTATTACTTGTGAGATCGATTCCTTAGTTTAGCTTGCTTAGTAGGGCTTTTTCAGGTACATAGACACATAAACACTGTGTAAGAATACTACTTACTGGAGTGATGTCTTGGTCGTAATTTACTATTGTTCATAATCATAACACCAAATGTAGCTCTACATTTCCTCGGGTTTTGTAATTCTCGCTCTTCCTTCGCATTATTTGTAGGGGTAATAGTAGAATTTCCTAGATGTCCGGATGGACGGCTGGTGTTGATTCATTCAGACATGATGATTGATTCTTATTGCATGTATGACTCGATAAATATGGCTTCAGTTATCGATATCTATCTGACTGTCATCTTCTGCCACCCTATGCTGTGGTGGTGTGTAACTATATACAGTGCTATGGTTGAGCTCCTTTCTAGATTTCGTATCTTGCGGTAGGTGAGACAGATAAAGCATTAGTGTTGCTTGACCGCATCACACCCCTGGGTCGACTGCTTGAAGTTGGCTACACACACATATGGCTTGTTTAAAGTTGTGTCCTTAAAAAGGTTTTAAGGGTGGCTGAGGATCGAGGCCAGGTAAGTCGGTATGTACAATTTTCAGGACGACCTTTTCTAAGCCACACCCCTCCACTGAAGATCGGAGAGACAGCATACCTGGCTTCCTGGTTATCTGGAGTAAACAGTCTACTCCTGTTACATACCCGTATTCGCCAGCAGTACGACTTCGCCCACAGACCACCAGCATAGTTTAGACGACTTAGACTAAGTGATGGTAACTGCCTTTGGTATATGTGCTATCGAAACGAGGTTTCTTGTATATAGTAGGGCCTGCAGGGAAATTAGTTCCATCTGGTCTATTTATTGCTCGTAGAGTCATTGTGATGTGCGATCCTGACCAGTTGTCAGTCATGATGTCTGTGTGAAACTAAGCCTATCCTAAACGTTAACCTTAACTCCAGACATTAGAAGTGGATAAGGTGGATCTGCGAGAAACTCTTGAAGCAAACCTTACACTGTGTTGATGACTAGTGTAAGATGATTGTTGTTGTTGTTTACTCGACTTCATTTTGGTGGCTGGTTTAGTTTATCCTCACTCGTAGTATGTTACATCCTGATTTAGCAAGTTCTATTCCCGAATTGTTGATATTCTTTCGTAAGATTTCAGAGGTTCCATGTTCTCATTTGCATAGGTGGCACTAGTAGTGTTTTGAATTCCCTCTTCTTGGTGTATTGTCAGTATAGGTATGTCACCTATTGATGGTCGTATTTTGATAATCTCCCACATGCTTCCTGTCATAGATATACTTCTGTGTTATTTAGCTTGTTTTTCCCCATGATTTGAACATTTTTGCAATAAATCTTATGGAAAACAGAGTATCAGAGTTACCTAGCTACAAATTGGATGTGAATTTTGAGGAGAATGTGAGTATATGGTATGTTGTTTAAAATATTTGTCAATAGATCTGTGTGGCTCATTGATGTAGGCTATCGACTACTAACCAATGGGTCACGGTTTGGAGTCGGCACTCCACCAACTGAGAGTGGTTTGGACAGCTGGGTGTTAGTGTCATTAGCCCTGACACATTGAAACTGGTGCCTATTGCTACAGTAAGCCATAATCTAAATAACACTGATAACTAATAATTGATTGTTGTGGTGAACATGCCTCCTGGGACTTGATTCACGTTTCCGTTCATTTCTTTCTTTCTTTCTTTTCCTTCTAGAAACAAACTCCCCGTATTGTGGTTCATGGTGTGTCCGTAAGTCGGTGAACCATACCGCTGGACAGGACTCAATGAATAATCATAATAGTAATAGTAATAATAGCAATGATGATAATAAAGGCGAAGCAATACGAGGAACTAGCAACGTGGAATGGAATCCTGAAGAAAAATGTCTATATGAAGTATTAGCTCCATTGTTTATCCCCTACGGGCATCCATCTTTTAATTTGTACAACTGGTGTTGTAAAATGTCGAAATTACTTGGGACGAAGAAGTGTTCTGATGTAAGTTTTTCACGCTTTAGTGTTTTCTGTTAAGTGTGTGATCGCTTTTGAACGCTTGCTTTTATCTTTTGAAGTGTGCTGACGTCATAGTTGTGGTTGTTACTGACCTGTATCTACCCACTGAATCATAGGTACTTTGGCTATTGTGGTTTTGAATAGGCTGGTAATACCGGTTCCGTTGAATTGACAAATTTATTGAAATAGCTTATTTTCGAATGGAAATAGTCTGCAGAAGGATTGACGATTCTGTTCATTTCATATCAGTGTAGAGGCGATAACGAGGAACTACTCGGAATGAGAAATATTTCCTCGCTCAGTTTGTCGTCATTTCTATTGATTTTGTCACAATATTAGTAGACCGTCGAGTGACACTTGAATAATTGGGAAAGGCGAGTGGGGCGTTATCCCGAGTCGTCGGTGACATGGGGGTGGAGGGTGGAGATCCTACCAGGTGGAAATGAAAATTGTGAGCAGTTGTTGTACCAACTCGGATTGATATCTGAGAGCATAGTCCAAAGGAAGTGTTATGGTGAAAGACGGCTCCCTAAGTTTCACTAGGAACGCAACTAACGACTAACAATAATAGTAATAGTAATAATAATCACAATAACAATGTAACAGGTTTCTAGTGAATAGATCAAACTTTCAAATTTCATGGCTCTCATCGTTTAAATCTTAACTTTTCAACTGGTTAACCAAGCGGACTGTTGTCCTGAAATACACCTGTGAATGAAAGTCTCATATAAACTGACTGCAAAGTCGTAATTTTATCCTTGTGTTGCCTCTTTTTCACACACATGTTGAATTATTACCGTTATTACTGCTGTTATTATTATTATTATTATTATTATTATTATTATTATTATTATTAATACGATGACGATGATGATGATGATTTAGGTGTTGGCATATACAAGTACACAGAATCTATCGACACTTCTACTCCCAGATGCTGGTCAGTTGAGTTCATTACGTATACCGGGTACTGGTGAAGTATGGGGTCGACGGTCAGGTAGTATAGCGTCGTTAAATGATAATGACTGCACCGGATCAGGATCATGTAGTGGAAGTGTTCATGATGATGGAGGATTTGGTGATGAGGTGTTTGTGGCGAATGAATCAAGTAGTTCTAATGTTTTAACAACAAATCTTCGTAAACGATCGAAAAAGCGTGTTAAAAAGAGCATGAAATTGGAATTGCCAACTCCTTGTGAAGGTAGGTGGTTGAACTCTTCTCTCTTTTTTGTTTGTGGACCAGCTTCGATTGTTGTATGAGTGAGTGAACGGGATTTGAGGGTCTGTATGGATCGCCTTACAATGGGTTGGTTGTTCAACTGTGTTCACGAGATGAGTCATTTGGCGTTGCTAGTGGTGTGTGTGTGTGTGTGGGGAGAGGGAGAGAGAGAGAGGTGATGATGCTACCCACTTCACTTCCACAGGGTTTTGAAGTAGGGTAGACCTGGATTCGCAGTTGGGACCCCATTAGATGAAAGATGAGTGTTAACCCATTGAACCACATTCTTGTGGTGCACCACTGAATCATTTTGTTTTGGTGAGACATTATGTTGTAAGATAATAAAGGTCTCTATAGTAAAACTTGGAACAACAGATGTAAGCGAACACTATACCACCATAAATTTTTGCAAATAAATAGATTGTAAAGTCAATGTGTCATAGAACATTTCTCTGAGTGGAGAAGACGAAAGCATTCTAGTTGATTCATCACATCACATCGCATGGTATCTCGAACCCCCATCCCATCGAAACTTTACAGTTGGCTCCGTATTCGTGTATTGCACGTAGCTGAGACTATTGGCATTTGAAGTACTAAGGCTAAACTATGCATTCAGACGAAATTCGTCTGGAAATCTTTCAAACGCGAACGCGACTTACATGTAGTGTTTAGTTCGCATGGTTCCACTATCATAATTGCCACAGAAGTTGGAATTAAATCGAACGTTAAATACCTTCGACAATGCATTTCCTCTGATCACCTTTCCTAGTCTTCCCACATGATGTTAGTTTCCAGAAAGAAATTTCGTTTGACTTTCTTCTACGTGAGGAAGAAGTTCGGACGATCTGGTATCGTTCCGTGCCTACTTTCTAAATCTGTTAATTCTCGTAGTCTGTCTACCCTTCTTTACTGTCCTCATTAAAACTTTCTTGGGCTACTTAAGAAAGACTTTTTTGTAATGGTGTGAGGGGCACTAGAAGCCGTCAGTAGAGCCAGTGGGGTGTCGCTAAACCAACTCGTTAATACTATTGTGGATAGCTACATGAACTGTTGCAAGAAATTAGCAAATATTGGCAGCAAATATCTTGTCAGACTCTGAGCATCCTCTCCATACACAGTTGTGTCCTTTCATCTCATTGGGGGTAGAACTAGAAGCAACTATAGTAGACTGTGTACTCGGACGACTAAGTAGACAAACTCTCCAATACCTTATTTAGCAGACATGCTATGTGATGATAAAGGTTTAAGGTAGAAGATAATCAAAAACTTATTGTGGAATTCTAAGTGAACGGCCCTATCTTTTTCATTGTTAAGTGGTTGTTAATATTTTCACTTAATTTGATATTCATTTTCTTATTGAACAATGTTGTCGATGTAAATACCCTGTTTTGATTATTACTCCTGTAATGAGAAGGTTAGATGCAATACTGTACTACATACTGAAAATTTCCATATTTGTACGAAGAGTACTGTTTGGAATAAAGCTATTATCATTATTATTATTATTATCACTATCATTATTATTATTGTTATTGTTGTTATTGTTATATAGTTCATTTACTTGCCTGGATAGCATCAGTTTCTGTTGTGTCGTTGGAATTTGTTTGCTACTGCATCTGTGTGTCAGTGGTTGAGTAGTAGAATGCTTTCCAGTGATACTCACGTGGCCTGTGTTTTGTTCCTGGTCATCGAGGCACTTGAAAGCCTCGTCTAGTTGTTTACTACTACTGGTGAAGGTAGTGAGTCCGTAAAGGAGGAGAAATGGTTAGACGTGAGACTAGAAAGTGCACGCACCTTTTAAAAACAATAACACCACTTTCTATATTTCACTTGGAAGCAAAATGGAATGAAAGTGGAAAAGTAGAAATGCTGCATGTTATCTTTTGTTTTGTTGTTTTTTCCTTTCCCGTTATATACAGACGATGATGAAGACTCGCAAACGAATGGTTCTGTTCAAAACGGTTTGAGGAACACTACCACTAGTAATAAGGATGGCAATGCCACCCTACCGAGTGGTTGTCTCGCGCATCAATATTATCCGTGTGATCATCCTGGAGAACGGTGTAATGATTTGTGTTCATGTAAGAAGGCTGGAACATTTTGTGAGAAATTTTGTCAATGTCCACCTGATTGTACGAATAGGTGAGTGGTTTTTTAACTGGGTTGCTGTTGTTGTTGTTGTCAATTGTAAGCTGTTATTCTATGCTCTGTTCTGATGATGATGATGATGATGATGCTTAGAGTTGCTGTTTGAGCCGCACATGATTTGCTTTCCCTGAATCCAGCTTGTCCCGGGGGTGAGAGTTCTCTATCGATAGCAGGTTTTATTCTCTCCAGGATGACACGACTCAATATTCCTCTTGGCGTGGACAAGAGCATGATTCGGTGCCAGTTCTTGCAAAGGCCTAGGTTGCCCCTCTTAGGTTAGGTAGTTTGACGAGGTAGCCTTTCTTCCAATCAGTAGGTGCCTTTCTTTGTTTCCGAACTTTGTGAACTAGTGATGTGAGCATATCCGCTGCCATCTGTGAGTGTGTTTTCTGTGGTTCCGGGTGAAATCTGTCTGGTCCCGCTGCCTTCGCAGCTAGCTTTCACTGTCGTTGGTGGATTGGTGTTCACTGGGAATTCTGTCCCCGCTTTTGGTGATATTCCTCGACAGATTGTAGGTGGTGGTGGTCAGCTAAGGAGTCGTTTGAAGTGATCGGCCGATTGTTTCGTTTTGTTCTTCCTCTTTGGCGATTGGCTTCCCTTGACCATCTTTCCGTGACTTCATTTGTGTTGACTTCCTCCCGGATGGAGACCTGGTTATCTGAAATAATGTTCTGAGATGTGCTTTACCAGAGGCTTGTTGTGTTTCAGTTGCCAGTGTGTCCTAGAATTGTCTTGTGTGGTCTGTAGCACTCTTGTTCACTTCTTTTGTCGGTGCGATGTAGACTGAGCTCAGCCTCTGCATCCTTGTCCATCTTTGCATTGGGTCATGTTCTGCTTCACCATCCTCCTCTTCTCCATTAACTTCCAGGTGACCGTAGAGAGCCATTCGTTGACCTGCCTGTTGTTTTTCTTCGAAATGACTTTACATGTGTCCTTAGACACCACTGTCACAGAGTTCCAACGATCTTCCACACAGGTTTCTTCAGTGGTGATGATGGTGGTGGTGCTACGTGATGTCTCGAACTCTGTTGTGATTGCTGGAGTGGAGGTGTCAATTGTGGTTTCGCCCTTGAGTTTCTGATTGTTGAACTTGAATTGTGGTTTGTCTCTGGTTCTTTCCATGGTTCTCAACTTGACCTTGGAGCTTCCCTGCATTAGATGATAGTCTGAGCCCACATCCTCTCCCCGTTTCCGACTTCTTGTGCAGCAGGCTGCGTCTCCACTCTGTTGTAATTGAGATGGGGTTTGTCTGACTTATGGTGTGTCCATTAGGTTAGGTGAAGTCCATGTCGTTAGCTTTGTGTATGTCCTTGTGCTTGTACATGCGACCTCCAATCACGAAGTTGTCGAACACACGGAAATTTAAGACGGGTTCTCCGTTGTCATTCATTTCACCGAGACCCTCTCCAGCCGTGATGTATTCTCGTCCTGTGTTGTCTGCTTCCAGTTTCGTTTGCGTTCATATGGCCCATTAGGATTTTGTTGTCATCGTTTGGACTGTTATCCAATATTGTTTGCAGTTGTCTATCGAAATCTTCATTCTTCTTCACTGGGTCAGCATTGTTTGTAGGAGCATGGCACTAGATAATTGTAAGTTTGCTTCCTTTTGAGTTGAATCTTGCTGTCATTATTCCGGAGGTGATTGGTTCCCACTGCAGAATAGCTTTGGCTGCTGTTGGTGACATCATGATAGCCACCTTGTCAGTGTTTTCGTGTTTGTCGTGTGGGTGACCGGAGTAGATAACTGACACTCGAGTTAGTAGCCATTTGGAGAGTGGACCTCCATCCCAGCTGCTCTGACAGATTCCTAGTACTTCTGTGCCATGTCTTTTCATTTCTTTTGCATCCTGAGCTGCCTTTCTGGCTTGGAACATCGTGCGTTTATTTCACACTCCGTGCTTATTTTTTCTCTCGTGGAAAGAAGACACTTCGGCTGACTGTCTTCTTGAAGGCTTTTACAAACGGCGTCATCTTGTCTCTCCAGCTTCAGTGAGGAACAAGTTTTATAAGGTTTTCGTTGTTGTTGTTGTTTGAAGTTTCTTTAGCAAGTGAAGAATTGATTTCTCGAGATAGTGTCACTAGCCTGAGAGCCGACCTTTCTCTCTGTTCCCGAGCTTAGGAGCGGTTATGGAACTAGAGAGCTAGTAAACTAGGCGAGGTTGTGTACGTGTGAACCCATTTTTTAATATTGTGCAAAGCAATATCACGAATACATGGTGCGGGTTCAAACCGATGCATTGCTTATTTCGTCGGTACCTACCTCATCAACTGTATACTGAAGCTAAGTGACAGAGGAAAGAAGTGAACACTTACAGTGAATGAGAGATGATATGATGGATTAGTGTTAGAAGACGAGTTAGCAAGGTGGAAAAATACTCGCTACAGTTTCTTTTCCAATAGACAAATAGTATTTTAAATTTCATTATTTATATTGTATTCCAGCTGACAGGATATGTACGAGATAAAGGATGGATGAGTTTTATCCTGCATGACGTGTTTGTCAGTGATTTTTTCAAACTCATTATGATGAATTTGTGCATGAGATAGAAATATTGTGTTTGGCTTTTCACTTCAGGTTTCCTGGATGTCGTTGTCGTGCTCATTGTAACACGAAAGCATGCCCGTGTTTTCTGGCAGCAAGGGAATGTGATCCCGACCTGTGTCTGTCATGTGGGGCACAGGCATCGTTTGGATCATTCACTTCAATGGAGGATTTGTTCAACGCTGTTGTAAGAGTTGGTTTTCCAGATTTTAAAGGACCATGTCGAAACGTTGCGATACAGAGAGGCCTACGGAAGCATCTATTGATGGCACCATCTGATGTTTCCGGGTAAGAGTGTTAGTTTTGTTTGTGTTCTCTAATTTCTTGTTGTTGTTACTATTGTTGACCAACTCTCAGTCTTCGACTGAGAAATCCCTTAGCACTACTACACTTAGTTTACCACTGTGAATATGTTGTCTGCATACCCCCGCCGTATTTTGGGGTTGAGTCTGAACGTCTCAGTCACTAAGTTTTCTAATGTATCCACAAATGTACCTGTGACTGTGGGGGATATTGGTGATCCGTCGCCAGTACGCTCAGTTAGTTTGTACACTCGCCCTTGTAGCTGAAATGGTGTAGAAGTCAGATATAGGTGGACTCCTAGTATGATACCTTCTAGTGGTACTTTTGTTGCAATTTGAAGTTTCAGATCCGATATGAGTCTGTTTCTGACCGAATCTGTGACCGTATTTATCGGTATTTGCGTGTATAAACTGATGATGTGGAAACTAACCATCTTTTCATCTTGCCTACGTAATTCTAACTAATCCAGTCTGTGTTTCAGTTCATAAGAATTGGGGAGTCTAGATTTTGAGTGGTTTCCAAATAGGATTTAATGCTGTAGGTAAATATTCAGACAAATGATAAGTAGGAGAATTTCTAAAATGAACTGTGAAGTTAGTGGGATATGCTGGCGTGCGAACTATAGAAATACCATATGTTGTACTGAGGTTGTTAGTCAGCCGCCAGCCAGCCAGCTAGAATTTGAGACCCCGCTGTGTCTATCTTGGAGCTAGGTCGGTACCAGGTGCACTGTTGATGTGGTCAGGCTGGCTGATAAGAGGGATAAACGTCTTTCCGGTGTGTGATTAGATGGGTCACTTTGATCTAACTGACTACCTAGCTAGCTAGCTAACTAGTTAGCTGGCCAGCAAGCACTACTCATATCAGTAGTTTATGCAGCGTCATACTCAGTGTTCTTGTTTATTGTGTTTCTTACACATACATATTTTTGATAGTTGGGGCATATTTATCAAAGATGGTGCAGATAAGAACGAATTTATCTCTGAATATTGTGGTGAGATCATTAGTCAAGACGAAGCTGATCGACGTGGTAAGTTCTCAAAATCTCTCTGTGTATTATTCTTATTGTTATTACTAATCATTAATAAATCAATAAATAAGTGAATAAATAAATAAATAAGTCAGTAAATAAAAGTGGTAATTTGAAATAAGAGCAGGTTATTATGTTATTATTACCATTATTCCCCTGTCTTCGGGATGGAGCATAGAGTTTCAGTGACAGGCGATCTCCAGCTTACGTCGTCCTCTTCAGTCTTTGTTTAACTGACTCCACAATTGGTCCTTAGCTTTCATTCCTTCTGCTGTGCATGATCTCCTCGACGTACCCTCGAATGCCGAGGCGTCTTTTCCCATTTGGGTCTGACTTGAGCGATGGTGTGATTGGCGCTCATTGCACGGTCTTCTGAGTGTGTATGTCCAGTCCATCCTCGTTTTCTTCTGCATATTTGTTGTCCAGTAGGTTGTTGGTTGGTTCGTTATCTTTCCTTTCTGATTGTCCATCTTATGTTGAGTATCGAGTTAGTGGGAGTAGCGAATGATTTTGAAGTATTCGTCAGTTGTGGTGTTATTCAAGCTCTACTTAGTTGAATATAGCTCAGCGAAATTGTTCTAAGTGTCTGAACATAAAGAGAAGTCGATGGTGATTTATTTCTTGGTCGGGTGTGCGACCTTCTTACGGGTTTGGCAAAAAGCAACAATTAGAGACGTCGTTAACTTTAATTCGACCGCTGCTAACTCTTTTCTAATCTAATTGTATGTTAGCTAGCATTGCACGACAAGGAAGGCATTGATTCAGCATACATGGCATGTATCCTAGCCATGCGAATCCCTGCAGCTCCATAAGGTCATCGATTTATTTTCCATCCTCAGCTGACACCCGTACCTGGCGTCAGTAGTGTTACTCACCGTGGTAGAATGCAAAGATTTAAGGGCAAAGATAGCTGGCTTATGACATGTCGTTCATTTGAAGAAGGCTTCATGAAGTTATGGTACCTCTAGTGTTACGCAGATGGTACTGATATAACAATGATAATAACATTTGTGATGTGTGGATTCGCGATGTGACGACGCCACAGCGATCCACATTATTTGTTTTCTTCGAAGTGGTCAGCAACAACATTAGTCGTAATAGTAGCAGCAGCAGCAGTAGGACGCTGTTGATATCCATAGTAACTTTCGCCGCAGACAGCTTTTTCTTCGTTGATAAGGTCAATGTGGAAAAGTAACAAAATAACATTGGAGTAATTCAGCAGTGCATAATCGTCGTACCGATCGATGCCTTGCACTTTTAATGCTGTGTTAATCTCCTTCATCTCTTAACAGGAAAGATTTATGATAAAACCATGAGCAGTTTCTTGTTCAATCTTAATCGTGATTTTGTCGTCGATGCAACGCGAAAGGGTAACAAGATCCGATTCGCCAATCATTCAGTTAATCCGAATTGTTATGGAAAGGTAAGTGTATGTGGGATACTCTTTCAGTCTTATGTTTTAGCTTTCCTCTCTTTCCTTTCCTTTTTATACAGTTTTATAGTGTATAGTTTTGCAGACGTTTTTGTCTTGGGTTCATCTCAGATGATCTATCGAAATCCTCCGTCCCACCCGAATGGCGGGTAGTGAGTGTATATTAGGTGCGTCTGTTGTTGTGTGGTGTTTCTTTGAGTCGTTGTTTGACTATGTATCTCATTCACTTGAAGAATAGATCGGGGGAAAGGAGAATCTGAGAACTTGATGGAGACGTCAGTTGCACACACACACACACACAGGATGCCTAACATGGCTCTTGGTGTGTTTTCGCATCCATGATGTTTTCACTATCTGTGTATGGTGGTTCCAACCATGGGTGGTGAGCTGTTTCCTGGTGTAATTCAGTGTCTGCTTTCATACCTCATTATAAACGTTGGTAATCAAATGAGAGGGTGCGGTCGACAGTGAATATCTTTCTCTCTCTCTCTCTCTCCGTGAATGTGTGTGTGTGCGTGTGTGTGTAAAGAAAGCTTCGTGTACAATCTGTGCACATCTCCGTTGTGATACACTCCCCTCACTGTCGATGGGATCTTTGCCGCATATATGAAATTTACTGTCCACCACTCAATACACCAATGTTGTGTCACATTTCACTGAACAGTGGTCATTGGGTGATAGGTTTCCAGGTGACGTATTTCCATATTTTTGTGTCAGTCAGTGTTGTTTGTTGATACTCGAGAGTATTCAAATGAAAATTCTGGTATCTTCGAATGACTGGAGATTGCATCCTGCAAAAGTTATTTCATTAGAAGAAGTTGAGTCTTTCCCAGTAATAAATATTGTGTTTTCGAAAGCCTGAACAGTGAGTTGTTGATGTTTTGACAGAAGTGTCCTTCAAGATCTACTTATCCATGATATTCCAGTCATTATCCGTACTGCTTGATTCAAAAGTTTTGCTTGTTTACTCTAGAGTGAATTTCACCGTTGGGGAAGAATGAAGTGTCACTGAAATCAGCTGTGTTTCAAACAATAGCCGTCTGGAGAAAGTCAATTTTGTGAGGTGACATGTCACCGAATTTGTTATTACTTTCGATAATAATATTGGGTCTCAGAGAACGATGTTGAGTGCAATAGGCTACTCGATTGAATAGCAGCAAATACGACTGTTCTCCCGAGATCGCCTTCTGCTGTTCTGAGCCCACAAAGAAAAACCGAAGACAAGGACAACAACAACAACGACTACAGCATTATTAGACAAGAAGTCCATCGTATATGTGTAGATATACTACTGGAAAGCTAGTGTGATTTGTTGTATTAAGCTCGGACATCATATACTTGCCAATGGAATTTGGTTGAAACTGCTGCACCCTTAATAGCCAGTGGTTTTTAACCGGTTCCAGCCTGTGGAATACAGTAACTTTGAGATTAAGCTAATTGTTTTGAGTACAGGAGGGAATATACATATGTATAAAATGTGCATTCACTTCGAGTGTTTCATGTGCCTGTGTGCCGAGATTGTTTATTTCACTCTTTCTTTCAACTAGTCTTTCTCGCCAGAAATTATTCTATCGTAGAGTGAATTTATTTGATAAAAGCACACAATGATACAGTGTTATTGACATTTGAACCACAATTTATTATTACTGCTCATAGATAGAGTTCTCCTTGTGGATTTCCTGACTTGAAAGTAAAATTTGATTCCCTGTCTTCTATTGAGTCTGCATATGTGAAGGAACTGGTGATAGAATCAAAGTATAAGAAAGAAAGAAAGAAAGAATTGTATGAAGAAAGTTTGAAAGTTATGTGAGTGACTTGATGATATGATTATGAGGAGTGATGAATTCTGCTCGAAATGTCATATCATCATCAGTAAGTGAACAATACTGTATCAGTGTGTACTTTTATCGGATAAATTCATTCAATGATGAAATTAGACTCTGCCAGGAGAGTGAGTGAATGTCCAGTGATTTTCATGTTATATCATAAATTGTGTTTTTTTCCTACAGGTGGTCATGGTGAACGGTGATCATCGAATCGGTATATTCGCAAAACGTGCTATTCTCCCTGGAGAAGAACTATTCTTCGACTATCGTTATGGTCCCATGGAACAGTTGAAATATGTTGGGATTGAAAGAGGTACAGATGCTCCGAAAACTTCTACTTCTGCTACTGGTAGTAGTAGTAGTAGTAGCAGTAGCAGTAGCAATCCTTCATGTCTACCGAATAAGTCCAGTGAATTTCCTGCATCGCCATCCAGTCATTCAGTGGAGAAATCAAACTGATATAATCGAATGTGGTGAGTTTGAATGTTTAATAAGGATGTGTTTTGTAACCCAGTGGCTAAATCGTCAACAAGTTGACTTTGTAATTATTTCAATACTCTCAGGGTGGGACATGACTGACTCTCCAGCTTTTGTGAGCACTAGACTTTGACGATGATGATGATTAGTCATAATAGATTATTCATATAAGGTTGGGGAACGAAAATGGACAATTCAGTTAGTTGATGGTTGTGAAAGGTATTTGGTGAGTGGCTAGTACGAAGGATAGTATACATTGAAGAGGAGAAGATAGTGAGACTGTGGTGGAATAGTCATGAAATCATGGAGTAATCAATATGGGAAATGCCTGAGATGGAGTCATATATATATATATATATATTGTGAAAAGAAATAATATCGCTAATAACAGATCATAATAGTGTATAAATAGTAGGATAGTCGAATGAAGGGTGTAAAACATTGTGACTAGGACTTTTTGGAGGTAGAGAATCCCTTGGTGCGGTGAAGACGTTCCAGTGGAAGTTTGATCAGGGCAGAAATAACGTGTTAACTTGTTTTTATTTGATGCAAAGTTGTGGTTAAGTCAACAATTTCAGCTATATGTGGGTGAAATAGGTTGTTGGGATGGCGATTAGAGTAAAAGCAGTTACCGGCTTAATGTAAGAAGTTTTATCTTACACTAAGCTGGAGGGTCTGTGACTCCAGAGTTATAGAGGTACGGTGAAGACAGTTTACTGTCTGCATCAACTAGGGTACTAGGCAGCGTTTGGGAATCAGAGGAAGTCCTGTCGGGCCGGTGTAAGTCATTGATTACCCCGATATACAAGAAGGGAGACAAGTCTTCCTGTGATACTCACGGGGGGATTAGCTTGACTAATATGATATCTAAAGTTCCAGACTCAATAATCATGCTTAGACCAAGCGGTCCATGGGAGGGACAAATACGAGAGAACCAGGCAGCCTTTAGACCAGATCGTATCGTGACTCAGGGATCGACTTGTTACCATCAGGGAATAATCTCATAGATTTAGAATATGCAGATGATGTAGTCCTTCCAGGTGAAGACGCTGACAAAATGCAGAGTCTTCTGAACGCCTTGAGCTGCAATCTGCGAATGTTTGGCATGCGACTCGCTCGTGCTGTCAAATGTAAGATGATACTACAGGACTGGACTATACTGATTCCTAGCTTAGAAATAGGGAGTGAAGTTGTTTGTGAAGCGTGTTGACCACTTCACTTATTTGGAAAGTTGTATCAGCCAGCGCCAACGGGTTGGTTTCTGACGAAATCTCAGCACGGATACAGAGGGCTGGTTTCGCATATTCCAGTTTACGCCGTCTCTGGTGTAGACGTCATATCCGGCTGGCTATCGACCAAAGTGCGTGTGTACTGCTCAACAGTCCGCTCCGTTCTCGTCTTGTAGTTAGTACAAATGCTTCTACTATGCGTGAGGATTACCAAGGTGTTATTTGGTGTAAGGATGGCGACTGGCAGTGTGGGTTCCAAGATATGAGCATTCTGTTTCGTGTCCATAGTGGATAACATATTGAAGCTTGAAACTATAAGTGTGTCTCAGTGGGAACACCGTCAATTACTCGCTGACGAATCCTGGGTTCTTTTACTGCTTGTCACCATCCAGCATATACATATATATATATACATTAATCAGATGGTTGAGTTGTGTCATCTTTCTTCCTTATTACAGTTTTCCATTTTACTAGTGAGTGCTTCAGTTTTACTGTTGTCTAGTTAAATAGTTTTAATTTGTCTTAACTAACCGCACCATCACATGGGAAATACCAGCGAGCCTCAGTGGGTTATTTCTATTACATCTGTTGAATATATTTCTGTGTATTATCGAAATTTACTATTATCATTTATCATTGTATTATTATTGTTGTTTGCATTTTCTATAGTTTTATAGTTACAGTGAGGTTTCTCCTCTCTTGTTCCACTTTCCAGGGTTGATTCCATGTTTAGTTTTTCGTGTGTACTTATTAACTGTGTGTGGTATTATGCGCTGCGTGAGCTGCTGTTACTGTTCAATAGATTCGGTCGTTGTTTCAACATGTTTAGAACTTTTTCTGCTTTATTTGTTTATCTATAAATAATATTATTATTCATTTTCTTTTTGTACATGTTAACATGGTAATTAAATTAATGTTATGCCTTATCGTAAATTTGTATTGTTATCATTTGATGCTGTGTATTTTAAAGACGAAAGTGATTTGAGTTAAAGAACTTTTGGAGGACTAGGGAGCACTGAACACTGAACAGTTGTTACTTCGTGTCCTGGTTTTGGACTGTTCAACAATGCGGATCTATTATGTTGTGTTATTAAGGATCGAAGAACGTAGGACCTTGTGTTTACGAGGCGAACCTTGTTGAGCGTTGTTGGGATGAAGTTGAATGGCTTGTGAATTGTAAGTCCTGCCAATTGGCGACGTATATATGGTCGCCGCCGGCCAATGTCGTCGTTGATTATCTGACGCCACACTCGACGACTTCGTAGACCCCTACAGAACCCCAGAGAGTTTCATCCTCTACTCAGTGGGTGGTAGTGGGCATTCGATTAATTTCCAAGTGTTGGGACTTCAACGGTTTCAAATCTGGTCACCTAATGACGCTAGTTTGAGGAACCAAAAGCTGTACAATCGTATTTGTATCTGCGAAAAGACAGCAGTCAATTAATTGAGTAATGGGGTGAGTGAGTGGCTGGACGTAACTGGTACAATCACTCGGGAGAGTGGTTTCCAAAGATAAGACATTGTGTGATAATCAACGACACAATGGAAGTATGGGTTATTAGATTTCACAAGGTGGGAATTGTTATTCGAAGAGAAGCAAGGTAGTTGACTGAAATCCACTTCACGATTGTGAAGAAGGTGGGAAAAGTTAGTAAAATGTACAAAAGGGACATGTGATGGTCGGTCGGTCGGTTTTCGACATAGAACTTTGCACATATGTGCGGCAGTTCAAGTCGCCACAATCTATGTAGCACGCAAAGCAAGAGAAGAAAGTAGAAGAAATGCATAATATAGACAGTAAACAGAGGTGTGAGACAAAGGAATAGTAATAACGGAGAACAAAAGTTTAATTGGAAATCATAAGTCACAAGGAGTGGATGCATCTGCGCCACTGAGAACGATTTTGAGCCATGTCACCAATTGTTTCCAACCATTGGTTTTTACCATCCCGAGGGCCCCAACCAGGAAGTCTACATCTTCCTACGTGGCTTAGATTAACTGTTGTGGATTTCATTGATTGGTGCCATGTTTTGGTTTGACTGCCGCTAGCTCTTTTCCAGCCTGACCCTATATCAGCTAACATTGCCCGTCGAGGAAGGCGATGACTAGGCATACGTAGCACATGTCCTAACCATCTCAGTCGAAGTAATTTCACAGTCTCGTCGATTGATTTCCCCGCCTTACCTAGCACTCGACGCCTAACCTCAATATTGCTCACCTTATTATACCACTTCACGCGGGAGATAGAACGCAGACACCTATGATCGAAGACAACTAATCTTTTCATGTCGTCTGCTCTCAATGGCCAGGTCTCACAGCCATAAAGGAGGACGGAGCGGACTGTTGAGCAGTACACACGCCCTTTGGTCGATAGTCGGATATCGCGTCTACGCCAGAGACGGCGAAAACTGGCGAATGCGAACCTAGCCCTCTGTATTCGTGCTGAAATTTCGTCGGAGATCAACCCGTTGGGGCTGATCGTACTTCCCAAGTAAGTGAAGCGGTCAACGTGTTCTACCATTTCACTTCCTATTTCTAATCTAGGGGTCGATGAAGTCCAATCCTGCAGCATCATCTTACATTTTATAGGGGCGAATCGCATGCCAAACATGCGGAGATTGTTGCTCAGGGTGTTCAGTAGGCTCTGCATTTTGGCAGAGTCCTCGCCTAGAAGGACTATATCGTCCGCACATTCTAAGTCAACGAGATTCTTCCCTAGTAGCAAGTCAATCCCTGAGTCGCTGAAGTGAGTTAGGGTTAAGTCCATTAGTACATCTATGATGAAATTGAATAGGAATGGGGATAATGGGCATCCTTGACGGACGCCACTAGTCGTCACCACTTCAGATGACAACTCGCCATAAGCCCTCACCTGGCTGCATGAGTACGAGTAGAGTGCCTTAATCAGTGCAATGTATTTTCTTGGCATTCCCTTTACAGCCAAGCATCGCCAGAGAACCTCCCGGTCGACAGAATCGAATGTGATGGTGATCATCGTTTAAGCGTACTTTAAAATATGCGCTCTTCTGTTTGCTGTGTTTTGTGATCTTGACAGCTGTTTTGACATCAATCTTGTGATTCCTCATATCAGCAATACGCTTTTGTGTAGACGAGTCTGGTAGTAGTCCACCGTCTGTGAAGGTTCTGAGGCCGAATTGTTTTTGATGCCATATGGGTATCATTTCACTCGCCTTCACATATAAACCACTATTACTCCTGCATAAATGTGTGTGTGTGTGTGTTTGTCTACATACAGATGTAGATCGTTATACAATACGTGGTGTGACTTAGTCGCTTGTGGAATGATGAGTATTGTCAGTGAAAATAGGATTGGTGAAATGTCTGAGTAATAGAGCACAAAAACTAAGTAGTACCAAGGGAAATCTAAGACAGGAAGTGAGGCATATAAGAGAAGCTTTGAAGCTTAACTAATAATTACCCTGATAAATTAGTCAGAAAGTATGTAGGAAAATGTAAAAATAAAATAAATGATGGTAGCAGTGATAGTGATAATAATAATAATAATAATAGTAATAATGACATGCATGTCAAACATTCACGAGATAATGACAACACCAAATATAAGGAATCTAAATCATCAGTAGTAATTCCATACAAGGAAGGAACCTCGGAAACCTTACTCAGAATTCTTAACAAGGCAGGAATAAAAGTGGCTGGCATTCAAACCCACAAACTCAATTAGAAACATACTTTGTCAGTTAAAGGATCCCGTGGAGCCTTTACAACAAAACAATTTAGTTTATCTAATACCCTGCTGGAATGGTTGTCAGGTCGAATACCTAGGTCAAACTAGTAGAACAGGTGCAGTTAGACTAGTCGAGCATAAAAATCTAGATTAGTTGACCCGAATAAGATGGGAAATTTAGAGAATAGTTGAGCTATACCAGTCACTACATGCAATCACACACAACCATACTATTGGATGGGTGGAGTAAGATGGCAGTTTTTAAACCTAATGTAGCAGCGTGGAGGGTGAGATTGATAACGGGAGCTTTGTTTATCAAATCAACTGAGAGAGAACACGTGTAGTAGGAAGAAGTTAGACAAACTTGTCAAGATCATTCGACACTCATCGCTTCATGTTACTTTCAGTAAGAGTAGAAAGAGGAAAGTTGCAGTAAGTTTGTCATTGACTGCGATTATTGGCCATATCTGATGAGGTTTCGAGTCGGCGATTTGAACTACCCCTCGGATCGCCAACCAGGGAGTCGTGACGTACCAACTGTTGCTAACCTAATACAAGTGTGCTTCATCTAATGGCGCCACATCATGGGCTGATGACCTCTTTGCTTTTCCCATCCGATAGCTAAGACTACATTCCAGGATGTATGTGTCGCTTCCTAGATCAGTGCAAGCATTCGAATCCGTGATTTAGCAGATTCAGCGGTCTGAACTTCGACATTCTTATAGTTCGGCAACCATTCCAGGTATTTGCGATCTGTTGTGAGTAGCAAATGTCTACTTAAGAGATTATGTCAGTGCACGCGGATGAAAGAAGCAGCAGCTAATGCTTTCTTCCTGGGAATGTAGTAGATCTGGAAGGGTAGAATTCGGCATCTCTATATAGCCAAATTATGTACACCTTATCTTCAACGCACCATTTGCACAGAACTTCGTGTTGTGCTACTTCTGGCCTTCACATTGTATTAATTTGTGTTCCTTTCACGTCTCCCATGTATCTCCACGACACTGTATCATTTGCTTTCTCTGACATCAAATGTATCTCCGTGCTATTTGATGTTTTTATGCTGATGAATGTCTCTTTATAAACTAGTGATAAATCTTATCAGTAGTGCACGCCACATTTCGGCTCTATTCAGGTTAATATAGAGATACCTTATTCGACAGCATCCTTTTCCATCGTGTCTGACTTGGGGCGAAACCGTGCCAATGATTGGATGTCTTGCATCGATGCCTGAAATGTACTTACTATGAGTTGAAAATTTGTGAAGATAGGCTCAGCGCAACCTTTGGTCATATCAAAGTACAGCGATAGTCCTCCGTGCACATGAAACAACCTTCCAGTTAGGATATTAGGGAGGATAAAGTCTTCAAGTAACTCTTCACGAAGCCATGAGAGTGTGCGACATGATTATCACCTTCGCTATTAATAGGTGATAAATTATTACTGATATCTCCAGTGAGATGTAATGTGTTGTACCATTTGCTGTGTATTGAGACTCCAAAGCGGAATGCAGGAGAACAGTTGAAACTGGTGAAGAGGTTGAGTTTATTCTTGATGGAAATCAGGAGTATTAATGGTGCAGCAAAATGAAAAATCAACTCGAGATTTGGTGGATGTAGTGAGTAGTAGCCAGGCTGGTATAATTCCGAACATTCAAGTGTGCAAAAGATCGTTGGCCTGAAGCGTGATTAACTGCAAACTGATGTATCACCAATCAATGAAAATGTATTACTATTTAGACATCATGTGAATATGAGTGTTTCAGCAAGCATTTAGTTCCTAAGTCATATTCGAAGAGATGAAATAAATTTTCGCATCTGATGCTGGTAGTGTTGCAGAGAGGCTTAAGTTGTGTGATAAGAGGTACATGAGTGTAACCAAGAGGGATGAACTCTGGACTGAGTGTCCCGTGATATTTTAGGAACCGACTTATCCATCAAAGCAGTTACTCAAATTACCGAATGACAGCTTGCATTGTTGTAGAAGATCAATTGGGTTTTTATAGCTTTATTCGAGAGAGGTCGGCAGAGAGCCAGTGAAGCGGGAAATATAGTCATAAACAAAGGAGCGCATTCATCATTCAGTAGGTGGAGAAAGGCTCACAAATCATATAGAAGATGTAGTTCCTTCCTGGTTACACGTCCCATCGTTCTGAGTT